TAACATAACATATAGATAATTATAAAGTAACTATATTAACATTTTCACTTTTCGACTTTTATCATACTAGTGTGACAATGTGAAAGTTTTTATGTTTATTTATTACTCCTTCACGTCATAACGACTGAAGGAATCGAAATTAAAATAAATTAATATAAAAAACATTAATACAATTAAATTTCGTGTTTTATAATAGTTTTTGAAATGTGACATCACAACGTTTAGAATCCCTCCTTCCCCCTTGTCACACAATGTCACACTTCATCGACTCCCTCCCAACCCCTTAACGTGTGACGTAATTTATGGACGGCCCATTGGTCCCTATCAACCAGGCTACTTTTTATCCCATGGGAACTCGGGCGAAGTTGCTGGCACAAGCTAGTAGGAAATATAGCCAAAAATTGGGTGTACCAGTTTACAGATATAATTTCATTGTAAGTACTTACCTTCAGGAAGTAACTGCTAACAAAATATCCAACCACCTTACAGGACCTGTTCACGCAAGATGGGGTTCTTCTCAAAGCGTGCCTCGGTAGACCGGTCACAGACCTCAACTCCATCGGTATGCTCTGCATCGTGCAGAACCAAGACAACAGCAAAACTATCGAGTGGCGACCAAACGACCTGATCACCATCGATTCTGACACACAAGACCAAGAATGGGCGGTCGTCAATACTATTGGTATTACAATGTCTTTTGCTAAAGGTAGTCTTTTTAAATAGTAGTTTATGCTCGTCACCTTCAGCTGTGTGACGTCCCCGTTATGTTGCATACGCTAGTTCATGGAGCTATTGGGTTTTTAGAATGGTTCAGCAAGAATCGACTGTTGTCTGCTTTCCTGGTATTCTCATCGCTTTTTTCATTTTTGCATGAACTATTTGAGTATGATTGCTTCGTTGGTCGATTGGTTGTATGCTCGTATGTGTTACTGTTTGCAAAATTATTATTGTTTTATCAATTACGAAATTCTTCAAACATCTTGGAATTCTTTTCGGAGATTCCGTTGGCTATAACCAGCCGACCGCCGAAGCAATAAAGTATTAAACAAGTACTTAAATTAAATATTTGCATATATTTTAAACCAACCATCCGATCTAGGTCGTCGTCAGCGCACATTAAGCGGGAATATAACATCAGACTACGCAACCGCCAGGGCTCGCATCATCAAAATACCCATCGAGGAACTTAAGACCTTCAGGGTTACGAGAAATAACCAACAAATGCAGTTTTCCACAAAGCCAGGAGTGTGGCAAACGACTTTTTACTTTCAACATGGCAATGCGGAAATCTTCGTCGCGTATCTAAAGAACCATGTGAAAACTGCGAAGACTCGCCATGATAGAAACACATACGTCGTTGTAGAACCGAATATAGAGTCCCAAGTACTGAATAAGTCCTTTGCTGAATTGGATATATTCACGGAGAATACAACAGACGTTGTGTGGAATTTAGTCTCTAACTTCAAACAGAGGCCTTATGAGACCACTATGGAGGCATTTTCCAAACTCACTGACATTGGTAAGGATTTATTAACTCTTGTTATTGGAGTAGAAAAGTAATTGAGAGTTTATATAAATGTAGCGGTCTTTGAAAGCATCAGCACCTTTTATTTTGCATCCGATAGTCCCATTTGGTAGGCTGTAAGCTTTGTATGCTTTCTTAAATACGACTTCAGTATTTAGTGTTAAACCAATAAGTTTAAGATTAGACTTCAAATCCCACTAATTGTGAATCTTAAAACTCAATATGAATGTCTAATACTTTAAAATAAATTACTCGGCATTTAAAACTAAACAAAAATTGTCATTTTTGTTTGCAGTGTACTACGGCAACGAAGGCATGAACGGCAAAAGAGATGTATCAGAAGAAGTGGTGGACTTGTTGACGAAAAGTATGAATGCTATGGAGGAGGCTACGACCGTGACCAAGAGTGACGAGTACGAAGTTATCAGTGTCAAACCTACACTACCGCCCCGCCCCTCTATACCTAGGTAAGAATTCTTTTTTTCCAAAGAGGTAGAAGGTATTGTTGATGTAAGAATTGTCGTGGCTGCTCACAAACCAGTTCCATATATCTAACTATACATAGGTACGTCAAGTCGATGGTTAAAACAGTATTTTTATGTAATATTTTTTAGTCGCTAATACACTTGCATGTGAACAACACGCATTTCATTTTTCCACTCCCCTGCTCGTCGAGTGAACCTTATTACAAACACCAGGTATTATATTATAACTTTCGTAAGACATACAAAATGACGATAGCTTGAAACTCGTCGAGTTCCTCGTCAAACAGTTACGTGAGTGAGTAAGCCGAAAGCATATTAATGAATGAAATAGAAACTTGTTGGTAATTCCTTTTGTTTCCAACGGAGAAGTCCTGTGGTCACTGGTCATATCCAATTTCTGACACAACACTAGCGTCGTGTTTCGTCGTGTAAGTGAGGTACCGGAGACTCAATTACCCATCTCCATAATCTCCCCAATCCTCAAATTCCTAATCCCCAAAAGGCGGGTAACACACTTATATTGTAACGCCTCTGGTGTTCCGGGTGTCCATGGGCGCCGCTAATTGCTTACCATCAGGTGATCCGTCTGCACGTTTACCGATTTTGGTTAGTTTGGTCGATTTTACTTAATATAATTATGGAAATGAAGGTTATCAGCATTAGGTCATTATTACTAGAATAGAAATTGATAGTACTGCACGTGAACAGATAACGAATTATAAAGAAGCTTTAGTTCAATGCTCACTTATCTTTTTAAATTATCATATAGGACATGACGTAATGTTTGTTATAAATTTACCTATTCCTATTTAAACTGTCAAACACCACGAGGACACCGGTGACCGCAACCCATTGTTCTTTAATTGTGTCTGTAATGACGGTACTCAAAGGGTAAAGTTTCTATTTTAGTGATAAGGCCAAGTGTAGCCAGCGATGTCGGGTGGAGTAGCGCGACGTTGTCGGACTTTGGTCGACATGTCTGGCAATATCAATGTCGCTGTGGACATAAGTTGCGCGTTGTCACCGTATATGTCAGGCGACGTCGGCCGGCTTCGCTCGATATTTATACTTGAAGAATAGAAAACCAAATTATATGGAATTGACGAAAATTTTGACACTTGTCAGTGTCATTCTCATACATTTAGTTTTCTACTCTCTCGGTAGACAAGCGCTAAAGTGGCGTTTGGCTAAAGGCACTTGGCTTTAAGGTAACAGGAAGCCATTGGACGAAGATTGTTATGTGAAAGTCAATAATGGAGGCATTGAAAATTACCACTGTAATGGATGTCTTGCGGGGGATATTATGATGATAATGACCTATAGATTATAGTAAAATGTTACAACTTTTAATCTCATATGGGGTAGGCATAGATTTTTTTTTTTATGGCATAAGCCGGTAAACGAGCAGACGGATCACCTGATGGAAAGCAATCGGCGTCGCCCATGGACACCTGGAATACCAGAGGCGTTACAAGTGCGTTACCGGCTATTTGTGGATTAGGAGTTTGAGGATTGTTGGGGATTCAGGGATTGGGGAGATTGGGGAAGGGGAGGGCAATTGGGCCTCCGGTAACCTCACTCACGCGACGAAACACAATGCAAGCGTTGCTTCACGTCGGTTTTCTGTGAGGCCGTGGTATCACTCCGGTCGAGCCGGCCCATTCGTGCCGAAGCATGGCTCTCCCACACTTGAACACACAAGATGCACAAAATTATAACAGTTTTGTAATGAGTCCCATGTTACACAGTCTATTGTCATACACAGTGCACCATAGTATACTGAGAAATTGTGCGAGAAATAAAAAACAATCTATAAATAAACTAGCAAAATGTAACTGTAAAATATGTATTATTTTCAGAGGAACACCACTGTCTCCAGAAAAGTGGTGGGCATTACAAGATACAGAGGGCAGGATCACGGAAGTGGAAGGAGTGAAACAGCTCATATTTAGAGGGGTGAGTATCATATCATATCCTTTATACCGGAGGCCCAATTACCTTTACCTCCTCTCTCTTCCTCAATCTTCCCAATCCCTGAATCCCCAACAATCCTTAAATTCCTAATCCCCAAAATTCTCTACCTACAGGGCTCGTTTACAAATTATGCTATTTAAAAATAGCATTGCTATTTAAAAATAGCAAATTATGCTATTTAAAAATAGCATTGCTATTTAAAAATAGCATAATTTAAAAAAAATTGTAAGACATAATTATTTTGATAAAAAAATTGGAGTTCCTACGTGTATTTCTATTTCTATTCCACTTATTCACACGAAGAGTTTTCTTTCGTTTCCTCATATCTACTGCTAAGGATCATCAGCCAATATCCCAGGCGACACGTTACTTAGGTAGTATTTAATACAATCAGAGGAAAGTAGAGGGAATCAGATCACGAGATCACCTATGCGCTGGACTGATCAAGTCAAATCGGCAACAAGATACTCAGAAACCCAGTGTCAGACTCTGCCAGACAATCCACAAACACGAAGAGATGGCGGGAGATCGTGAAGGAAGCAGTATCTACTTCCAACACAAATACGGCCGCCTCAATGTGACCACGACCGCTCAGCCAAGAGCGAAACGATACGAAAGACAAGAATTTAATTCCATATTCTCACTTTTTTATCGCCCAATCACAGAACAAATATTGTGTTATGCATCAGTAACTGTACTATATTTAATATTCTTTGTTACAGGGTGTAGCCCACTCGATAAGGCAGTGCGTATGGAAATACCTCCTAGATTACCACCCGTGGCACATGACGAGTGCAGAATTAAAGGCATTGACGAAGAAGAAAACAGAAGAGTACTTCGCAATGAAACTGCAATGGAGATCTATGACTGAGGGGCAAGAAGCCAGGTCAGTACTTTTACCCGCGGTTTTAGTTTTGTTTTATCCTATGGGAGCATTTAATCGGAATAAAAAAGTATCCTATCATCTAAGTCAGCCCATACCCTGTCTGTACGGATGGGGTCCAACAGGGCTGATGCCGATTCAGAGTCGCGGAGAACCTAAAGGGTTACCAGGGCTCCGGCTCGAAGTGCAGGAGAAAGAACGGGGTGGTTTTTAGTCAGTAAGAGTCTGACACTCTCTCCCGGCTTACCCAGGCGGGAGCAGTCATTCATTGATATTACCCCCTTAAAAAAAATACCCTGTTTGTATCCCCTTCAAAATCCGTTCAGTAGTTTCAGCGTGACTGTCGGACAAACATCTAAACCCAAACAAATAAACTTTCACATTCATAATATTAGTGTGATATAAAATTAAAATCCTTTCCATCGCCTCCAGGTTTTCAGAATACAGAGACAGAAAGAGCTTAGTGGAAAAAGACGTCAATCGGACTGACAGAACACATCCATTCTTCGCTGGAGACAACAATCCTAACTTGGTCATCCTGCAAGACATCCTACTGACCTATGTGATGTATAACTTTGACCTCGGATATGTGCAAGGCATGTCCGATATATTAGCGCCTTTGTTGTTGCTATTGGGCAACGAAGTGGATAGTTTCTGGTGCTTTGTAGGATTCATGGATAAAATTGTAAGTATATACTTATTCTTGTTTTTATAATGAAGACTGCCTCATTGGCCGAGTGGTGGGTTCGATTCCCGGGTCGGACAAAATATTACTGTGTTTTTTAAAAATCTCAGTAGTACCACGGAGTCTGAAAATGTGCTCGGTATATGGCAATAGGCTCACCCCCTATTACATGGGACTCATGACATAAATAGTGAAAATTGGGTGTTACATTTGTACAGTGGCATGAAATGCCCCAATGTGCACCTCTGCCTACCCCTTCGGGGATAAAAAGGCGTGATGTTATGTTATGATATATTCTTGTTTTTATAATAACTTTCGTGAGATATTATGCTGGATTAACAAAAATTACGAGTTACGTAAACATACTGAGAAAATCGAATGAATAGGCGGCGCGAACTTTGAATTTGAAATTCTGTCTTATAAAATGAATAGACATAAAGGGTGAACTCAAAAAGTATAAGCAAGTTAGATCTTGATTGATGAACACCATCAAAGCAAAATGAAATCAATCTAAGATCATTGATTAATTTGGTACTGTTAACTTAAAAATGAATAATACAGATGGCTGACTATGCTATTTACTTTAACTGACGTACAATTTGTACTCTTTGACCGACTCCAAAAAAGGAGGAGGTACTTTCGAATGGTTTTTGTTAACAAACATTTCAAGTGTGGCGATTATATTTCTGATCTTTCTTCATTCTAAAATGAATCTTATTTCATTCCAAAAGGCTTCAAACTTCGACATGGACCAGGCGGGCATGAAGCACCAACTCCTACAATTACAACAACTGTTAACATTTGCGAGCCCCGAGCTTGCCAACCACTTGGCGCAGAAAGATTCTGGGAACATGTACTTCTGTTTCCGATGGCTCCTCGTATGGTTCAAACGAGAATTTTCACATCGGGATATCATGAGGTTCGTACTTTTTACTGTACTAATTATTTATTAACACACAAACTAACGGCACGGTTAGCGCCTGGCTGCCGCGCAACGTGTCGCGGGTTCGATTCCCGCACGGAACAACTCTATGTGATCCACAGATTGTTGTTTCGGGTCTGTGTGTAATGTGTATGTGAACTTGTATGTTTGTAAACGCACCCACGACACAAATTTAAGTGTTGGTCAACGACTTCTTAAAAAAGTAAAATTATCGACTCTGTTTTCGTACGATTGCGATTTCCGTATTGTTTAGGCTATAAAGAACGTAGTAGTCTTCGAACGATTGGTTCGTATTTAATGTTTATATTGTAAAATTTAGAAGTTTCATATTTTTATACGCAAATAAGGAATATTGCACACACTATTATTTATTTAACGGAGTTTTTTACTGGTAAACGTCAAATAATCTGCCAAAGCCCTGCTTACCACTAACCGATTTTTTTTTATTTCGATTGCAAACATGGGTTATAAAATAGTCGATCTATAGTTCTAATAAAATGTTCTTGTTCCAGGCTATGGGAAGTATTATGGACGTCGTTGCCATGCGCAAACTTTCATTTGTTAATATGTGTTGCCATACTTGACGCGGAAAAAGATATTCTAATCAGTAAAGATTACGGCTTTACTGAGATATTGAAGGTAAGGGATCTAGTTCTTGTATCTCCCGAGCGCGGGTGAACCATAGTTGTATTAGTAGTGCGTATACACGCGGGTGTGGGTACCTCGCAGTGGACGCGTCACACAATGTGCGTACATTTACCCACACAAGTATTTACCCACACAAGTATTTACCCACACAAGTATTTACCCACACGAGTATTTACCCACACAAGTATTTACCCACACAAGTATTTACCCACACAAGTATTTACCCACACGGGTATGGCGCACCCGCACTCGTGGGGTGACACATCTATACCTAATCTTTCATTTTATAATTTAGACTTTAGAGTGATCTAGTGAGACCATTGGATAGTTTCCAGGGTATCAAAATTAAAAATCTAATTAGTCCGTCAGTTAGATAATGAAAAAATATTAGACACGTATTTTTTTTTTATTTTCTCGTATTAAGTGACAATACTTAGGTAAAATGGCGCAAAGTTTAGGAGTGGGAGGTTGTTACGTCATAACGTGCTTCAAAATGTGGTACGCTGTGACGTCACATGATATTTCAAATTAATATATTATCGTCGAAAGTATTCAATTTAGTGAGAAAAAAAAATACGTGTCTAAAGTTTTAAATTAATGTACCAAACGAAGATTAAAATAAAATTTAGGAAACTACCCTATTTCAAACTTGAAATCCAAGCCAGTTATGTTTATGTCGCTGAGATGCATCAGACTTCATAGTTTCTACTTTTTTATTGGGCGTTGTAACGGATTAAATATAGATTTTAGCTTACAAGAATATAGTGCCTAAGCCTTGTGTCCTAATAAACAAAAATAAATCTAAATATAAAAATTCCTTCCCACAGCACGTAAACGACCTATCAATGTGTTTGGACGTCGACAAAATATTGAGCACTGCTGAAGGAATCTTCCACCAAATAATGTCAGCGCCGCATCTCACAGACCAAATCCGGATCATCCTCGGTCTGCCACCTATGAGCACCTCCACATCATCGCACTCTGGGTCTGACGCACCCACGACATCGAAGAGTGAAACAAATGGTACGAAAGAGGACCAAAGGACGGGCATGTTCGGTCAGGATATGGACGAAGTTATGTATCAAATAGGCTTAGACATGAGTTTTTAGGCACGGCGGTGATTATCTGTCTTATATGTATATTTATTGTAGTTTTTTGACGGTTGGGTCGCTCTGGACAGCTGTTTTTTGGCATGTAGATATGCTATAATCTGTTTAAATTATTATGCCTCTTTGGAGTTAGTAACGCTTTTGCCTCTTAGAAGTTCCTTCCCGAGTGTTCTAAAATGTTTTTATATCTATAAAATTTACTTATACTTTGATTATACATGATGTTGTTTTAAAGCCGCGTCATTTTCTAGGAGGTAACTCGGCTATCGATTCTGAGTCCGAATCAATAAAAAAATGTAGGTAAATATTTTTCATTTTTCTGAAATTACGGAATCCGTAAGTGCGAATCCGTAAGTGCGAACTACACGCCGCCGTCTTGTAACTAGCTTTATAACTTGGCTTGACACACACAAACTCAAATACGTAATTGATATTATTCCTAATTCCATAAAACTCCAATAAGAAACATTGCTGTCGCTTCTTCTGAAATACTGTCGAACTTAAACGATTTATTATAGCCGTACTTTAACTATTGGCCCGAAACTTTCTCTTACATTGAACCTTTATGACTTCTGTGACATGCCCCCGAAAAATGACACGGCTTCAAAACTACACCTTGTATATTGATATATTGAACATTACATTATTGTCATTATTATGTACGAAATATTCTAAAGTCAAATACATATCTATGTGCCTTTAACAATCGGCCCTTTAATATTAAAGTCTATTCAATATAATCTTGGAATCGCGATTGAATAATGCATTACTTCGCTCCTCACATCAATATAAAATAGAAATATTAGCGCTTTTGCCCCAGCAAAAAAGAAAACCTATCCAATATAACTTTAAATCGACAATTAAATGTAAATAAATAAGAAATATTCATATTAGAATACAATATCATGTAAATATTGCACATATGTACAAATTATATGTAATAAACAAAATTCTGCAGGTTTCGTTGAATGAAACGAACAACGAAAAACTAAATATAAGTAAATAATACATTATCTAGAAATTAAGCTATTAAAAAAAAATCTAACAAACCTTTTTGAAGAATACATCAATACTATCAACAGCTCATAAGTGCCCACTGCTGACTAAAGGCCTCTTCGCACACGGAGAAGGTTTGAGCATTAATCACCACGCTTGCTCAATGTGGGTTGGCAATTTTAAACTTATAATTAGAAATTATGAGCTTAGGTTTCCTCACGACGTTTTCCTTTCACCGTTTATAAGAGGTGTCTAGATAATCTTAGAAAGTACGTATGACTCGGAAATAGTCACATTGGTACTTGCTGTTGGTAGGTTTCGAACTCGAAAGGTCACGCATGCGTCTTAAACCTCCGGGCCACCACGATTCCTGAAAAATACGAAACAATTATAATTAAACATTTGCTTTAAATTAGTATTGAGCGACCCAATCCAATAGTACCAAAAATCTTACATATGGCTTGCTAACATTCATTTAGCTATACTTTCTACTACATAAAATATACATACTGTCACAAACAAAACTGTACTCTAACACAACTTATTACGGTATTACTTTCATAAAATCTTAATTAATAATTTAGTTTAGAACCTTATTCTCCAATTTATATTTTACTAGCGACCCGCCCCGGCTTTGCACGGGTGCAATATGCATGTATTATACACATAAACTTTCCTTAAGAATCACTCTATCTATTAAAGAAAACCGCATCAAAATCCGTTCCGTAGTTTTAAAGATCTAAGCATACATAGGGACAGACGGCGGGTAGCGACTTTGTTTTATACTATGTAATGATTAAGTGTAGCTTTAAGGGAGTCTCGTGAATCACGCACGAATTATTAAGATTGTACAAATTGAAAATCATTGTTGTTTTTAACGAAGATTGTAAACGTGCATTTTGAAAGTATAATAAAAATTTAATTGGCACTTTTTAAATTTTTAGTAAGTACACATAATGTATGAGAATCATTCGATGATTATTTGTTGCACTAAACTTAATTTGTTGAATAGAAAAATAGTACAAATTAATATTCTGAGGCCTTAGTACGAGTTTGTTTATACTTTTAAAGTAATCGTAACGAGTACGCGTTCAGCGCTCTGATTGGTTGGTTTATTGGCGCCGGCCAATCAGAGTGCCGAACGCGTACTCGTTTCGTACACTTTAAACGTAAATCAAACTCGTATTAAGGCCTCTGTTGAGCACCTACACAGTCCACTGTACAATATCTATACAGATAAACAAAATTGAAGTGTCTGTTTGTAATATTAAAATAATCGTTTTTTACTACATGCATATGAATGAATATACATACGATACACATACCAAAATAACATTTTTTAGAATTCTTGTCTGTTTGTGTGTTTGTACTGGCTAATCTCTGGAATCGCTGGACCGATTTTGACCGGATTTTTATTGGCAGGTAGCTAATGTACCAAGAAGTCTATGAGGCTATTTTTATTTTAGAAATATAAACATAAGAAAAGTTATGTCCTAAAACTCATATTGTACGTTGACGAAGTCGCCGGCAACATCTAGTAGGTATTTAATAAAATGTTATAAGCGATATTGAACAACTTATATAAATGACGACTAACTTCAACTTCAATTACACTATAAAGTTAATCACGAGGCATTTTGCTCAACAAAAACACTAAATCAACCCAATGTAAAGTATTTACTAATACTAGGAACATTCAGCCGAAGCTGGTTAAGGCTCAGTGCTGACTACAACATAGTTGGAAAAATCCAGAAGACGGTAAAAAAAATACAACAATACTCAAAACTTTTGAGGTCATGTACCATAGGTCAAATGCTTATGCTGCGTTTGCATTCAAAACCAGACAATATAAATTAGGTATTATGAAATTAGTTAAAAACAAACTAAACATGGTATTTGGGCTTGAAAGCTGATAAAATCCTCTGTAACTCAAAAACTTGTTATTTATTAAATAATACTGAAGTTTTCTTGTTACTAACTGCACCTGGTTGCTATGCACTGGATTTTAGATTATTTTTAGTAGATAAATTAACTTGTTTAAGCTTGCACTGAATATTAACAAAGGTTTGAGGTTCAATTTCGTACATTGCCTTGTATTTTAAATACTTGGTTGTGGATTTGTTAATAAATAATATGTAATCTGTACCTAACTGCTAATCATAAAAAAAAACATTTGCATGTAGCAACACCATCATGCATACTTAGTACTGCCAGCGCAAAAAAAAAAGATAGAAATATTAAATTATATATTTTTCTATTTCAGGATACACTCGAATATAACGGATTACAAATATGTATTGTAACGAAAACTGTATGGGCGTTGCTCGCGTAATGACAGAATGTACATATTGCATTGTCGGTAAACAGACTGGATACAGAGTGATATTTTTTATATTTTTATAAATACACGCTTTATACACGTAAGTTTTGACTCCTGTTCGATTTTGTCCCTTTATGACTATATTGCATTCGTTTATAAGACAAAAAAATAAAGTAAAAGTAAAGTAAAGTAACGGTAACTATGACATTTTTTTTAATTTCACGAAACTCATTTATTTGACAAAATGTATATGAAGTTACACTGTATTTTAAGTATGGTATGTTCTTAGTTCATTAGCGAAGCGTCTACTTATTCTAGATTATTAAAAATACTCCTATAAAAAGTATTAACCCACCAAAGTGATTGTACATACATTTGAAATATGTGCCATTGTTCCTGGTATTATTAGTATGTTCCTACATTGTGTAAATAGAATAAATAATGTGATTGTAGATTAGATAAATAATTGGAGAAGTATGAAGATTTGAATCAAACAATGTCAAAATGTGTGTAGGCAAATTCAGATATCCTTTATTGTATTGTATATTAAAGCATATCTCGGAAGACATGTAGTTGTTGCTATTAGCTTTACAAGACATAGTCTTATTGCCAAGCAATAGAAAGTCAATTAAAATGTTTTAGAGTTCGTCCAAGTTCAAACTTGAAACGACGCGCCCACTCTCGATAAGTCTGTACGCTTTATTTCGATCACCAAGTTCCATCAATAAGCAACTTGGAAGTAGGGCGCGTAATTTTAAGTTGATATAATCTCTTCGCCACATATAGAATTGCTCGCTCAAATACAAGCAAATGCCTTACGCTCGGTGCTTTGCCCTTGAATAGGAGTCAAAATTACGAATATTGCTGTCGATCTATGACAATCTTCTATCCTATACAATAATTATTTTAAAAATAAATTAGTGATTAATTTTGTTATAAAACAAATTGTATTGTAAGTTAAATGTAATTGCTAAGTTCGCCATTTTGTTTCTTTACTATAATATCAATTATTTCGAATATGATTTCAGAATGTTTGTGATTAAAATTATATTCTTTAAATATTATTTTTTATTAAAGTTTCTGTATGTACCTGCACAGTTGAAATTTGTTACTTGATACCTAAAATAAATAATGAATCTAGCATAAAATAGTATGATTTTAGTTTGTTTCTCTAGACTACCTTGTTCTTGGTTTGCAAAGAATTAATTCTGGACCTGCCATAGTGCTCGAGCTATTGTGCAATGCAATGAATATATTTATAGTTTTCGACATGGGTTTCCTTATTGATAAAGCGAAATAAAAGCCAGCGTCATTCATCAGAAATTATATTAATTATTATCCATACAATAATAATAGGATCCTTAATTTCAATGCAATAAAATTAAATTCAAATAAATACTAATCCTAAAGAAATGAGATCAAAATTAACTTTGTACTTTGTTTCACAAATTCAATACATTCATGTTTATGGGCGAATGTGACTTCAGGTGGACATTTAGTCCATATCTGGTTTGGTAAGATTTGTCACACAGATGGCAATGGAAGTTCTTTACACCAGTGTGGGTCAGAGAGTGCCTCTGGAGCTCAGACTTTGAGAAGAACCGTTTCCCACAACTGTCACACCCATACTTCTTTTCTTTCAAATGATTTTTCCTGATATGCGAACTTCTTGAACTTGATGATATGAATGTAGCATTGCATACTTCACATTTATGGTTTCTCGTCCTTTTATGGTTCCATAGAATGTGAGAGTGAAGTCCGCCAGGGACTTTAAATTTCTTTGGACAAAATTTACAGCTGTAGGGACGATCATTGCTGTGTGTCAACATGTGTATTCTAATGTAACCGGGAGGATAGGACTTCCCACATTGATCACACTGACGTAAAACTCTTTCAGACTTGTTCTTCTCCTTATTCTCTACGTTAGGCTGACAGGAATGTGTGTTAAGCTCGTCTTCATTGTAGAATCCTTCCCAACAGTTCTCACATAAATAAGGTTTTAGATGCAACTTTCTATGCAAGACTAGGGAACGGAAATCTTCAAACTTCTCATTGCAGTAGTCACAGTCCCTCCCAATCTCAGACTTTGTGGGGTGATTGTTTAGGCAGTGCTCATTCAGTAGTTTAACTGAATGGAATTCAGCCTTGCACTCTACACAAAACAATAATCGGATTTCATCAATATTTTGTTCTATCTTTTTTACGTTTCTTTTTTTAATGTTTATATGGCAGTCTGGTTTTTGGTCATCGGATTCGTAGGCGCAGTCGTAGTTGTCGCTGGTGGAATCAAGGAGGGTGAGGTTGTCCATCAAGGTCTTTGAACTAGAATCTATCAAGACTTTGAAGGAGTAAGTGATGGTGAGTTGATGGACGCAGTTGATGCAGATGTTTTCTGGAAACAATGGGTCCGGTGCCACCTGGAGAACAAAATAGAAGTAAATGCAGATATTTGACGAAATATTTAATTAAGAAGTATTGAATTAATTACTTTTAGACTTTTCATTAGTCTGAGTACTGTAACGCTTGCACTATTACCTTATAATTATAAAAATTCTGCAGAATATCTGAAAGATGTACTTCTTCGCCAGCTATTCTCACACAAGTATGTATATGGCGCATTTCTTTCTCGCTGCCTAAACATGTTCGACACCGATTTTTATAATCCATCGCAAATGTATAGTTTCTTGTTCACAATATTATTGTTTTTATAGTTTTTTTTTATCATCACACTCCACAAGCCTCTGTTATTGATTGACAGATATTTGACTTTTGGATTTTCGATTTGACATTGTTGAATCCAATAACCATTTTGCGGCGTTCAAATATTTCTCTTTGTTTTATAAGTTGGACTGACATTCATTATAAGAACGTGCAACAAAACATGACTGTTCCGATTAAGGAACACTCATATCACATTCATTTATTGAAAGAAATGACATTTAAATTACATTATTTAGAATTGACAAACATACATATTTTCATAAAAAAAAAATTAATATAACCATTTTAAAACAAGGCGTCAAAGTAGTACGCTTCACTGTTACTGAAACGAAACTTTCCCAGAAGACTGGCAGCATTGCCACGTTGAATGGCAATGCTTATTTTATGTCCGAAGAAATAGCCCGCACTCTGGTCACGTGTAGATAGTTTAATTGTGTCGATCAGCCTCTGGGCGATTTCCTCATAGACAGAAAGTGCACTGGGACCCCATGGCCTAGTATTTCAACCCCATATGGCTCAAAACAGTAGCTACCCACCACATTTAAATATTTACGCCATTTGAGGGTCTCTGCCGCGGAAGCGGTCGCACCAGAGCATGCAACAGTATTTAGAAGGTGTGATGGTGCAAGAGTCCAAGGCAGCAACAACATACCATCAGATGGTATTCCTGTTCCAGATTCTGGTTTCTTGCCGTCATCACGTACTAATAGGTTCAATGATTTCGTTGATGCTAGCATGGTGAGTTATGCGGCCTGCACTTCTGAGCAAGAAACTTCAAGAAAGACCTTACATTTCCTTTTATCTCATCATAATAATTTTCGTGGTTGTCAATAATTCATTATTATAAAATGAACGTATCTATAAAGATCTTGAACACTGACTGACATTGACATTTTGAACGGTTTGTTGTTCTGTCACATTGACAGAAATGCAAGACTGAATACAAATTAGGGCCAAAAATAATGTTTTTCCAACCACCCAACGAAGAACCAGGCTCTAGTGAAAATTTAAAAACTACCTCTCGGCGACAAAAGAAATTAAGGCGTAAAAACAGGTTGAAAGCTATAAAAAAAGATCAGCTCGCAAAGAAGAGGCTCGCGCGCAATCCTATACCAACCACGATGTCTTCATGGGCTGAGAACTTTACGAGTGCTGCTACATGGCAATTGAAGCATCAAGTAGCCTTCTGGAAGTCCCGTGCAACGGCTTTAGAGTACGAGAATAAGTTACTGCACGATATTATACGTAAAAACTATTTGAATCAAGGTCAATCGGATGATAACTCTAGATCAAATTCGGAAGAAGAAGAGGAATATTTCGAACCTGAAAATGAGGTTGAAGAAGACGTTGACGGGGAAATAGAAGTGAGTGAAGAGTTTATACAGTTTCTAAGAGACAATAAGAAGTTCAGAGATGATGCAAAGAGGGAGAGAGAGCGGTTGAGAGCTCAGAATGATGAAGAACAAAGAGAAATAGAAGAGATGGAGGCTGGGCCTATAGAAAACGGTGAAGATCCTCAAGAAAGGTTAAAGAAGTTATATGGACGCGGTTGGGAGAGAATATCAGCTCTAGAAATGTCTATGCAATCACATTTTATAAGTATTTCCGATCGGGAGAAACCAATGTATTGGCCTAATATACCATTCAATTTTAATTTTGGATAATGTTGTTTTTATTGTTAGCAGTCATGTAAATATTGTAAGAACCCTCATATTGTGAAGTTGACTCATAAATTGTAAGATTGGTTAAGTTTTTGTTATTAAATTCTCAATTTGTCTCGGATGTATTGGTACTCGCCTTTAATAGTATGAGCACTGCTAGGAAACAACGATGTTGTAAACTTTATATCTATTTTTAACTAATAAAAGTAAAAGAAATTCCCTTTTATTTGAATTGAGGACCTCCTCCTTCGTGGGAACAAACAGTGCCATTTATTAACTCGTCGAGTACCGGTTTTGTAGACACAATTATAGAACAATAGGTTGCGGTCACCGGTGACCGCTTGGTGTTTGACAGTTTGATGCATCTTTTGTTAGAATTTTTGGCTACATAAATAATAAAATTGGTGTCATTGTCAATACTATTTGTTACTTTCAAGATAACAGCACTGTCACTGGTACAATGACCTGTTTTGTGTATATTGTATGTTAATTTAAAATTTTAATAATAAACACTTTGTGTAAATTTTTAAATTTTATTGTTATCATAGGAAAAAATACAGTTGTATATTTGTATAAAAAGACTGGCCGTTTTCTTCAACAAACCCTAAATCATCTTGTAACTTAACATGGTGTTGCACCTTTTATTTATATACTGTTAGGTGTCACTATAGGTTGGTGAAAAAAAGTTAATGTCTAAGCATTTGTCTATGCTGTGTTTAAACATTAACATTTTGGTTCCTTAACCTGTATATCCCCAAGCAGTCACCTGTGACCGCTCTCTCCTAACTACATTAAAATACTTTATTTCCAATGTTAACACTACTTTTCTATAAACAAATTTAGGGGATGATTTCCAACAATTCTAAATGGGTTAAGATTTACATAAGTTTGGTGAAACCTTTTTGATGAGTATTCAATTTCCTGCAGCCTTAATAATTATTAAGTTAGTTTAAAATATACACTATTTCTTCAATTGTGCCTATTTTAATTATTGTAATTTTATGATATAAGTAATATCTGGATTTTGAATTTCATTGCAATAATTTTATTTTGCAAGTACCTGATTAGAGAAATAGATTTTGAGAATCGATTATTATTACTTGTAAAATCTCCAAGTAAAGTCGAAAATCGAAAAAGATTAGGGTTGTGAGAATTCCTCTTGTTTACACCATGTTACAATAGATGGCGCTACGACCACCATGTACATGAACATGAATAAATGTCGTATCTGCCGGATCAAGTATACGGTACCCCCGGACTACGAGCGCCCCCTAAACGCGCATATTATATATTATAAATTAATAAAAACATTCCAATATTTAATTTTATTTCAGTAATAACAATTTTTCAAAGTAAAGTAAGTCATTTTTTTCCGCGTAAAGTATACGTTCAAAGGTTGGTAGAAACTTAAGAAAAACGTAATCATAGCCAGATAATTTGGGTAGAGATTTATTCTGTTTTTCACAGAAAATATTAGTATTTAATGCAAAAGGAAATTTCCATTGTGAGTAATCTTTACCCTTCATATTTCTTAAGGGCCAAATTTTTATTCGGGGCCCAGCCAAGGCGTCAGACTTGGAACTGCTAAGGATATGGCATCTACAGTGCAGACGCATAATTCACGTTAAAACTTCTGCCAGACTTTTAGTCTCGGTGGAAAACCAGTGTGTAACCTACATCTAGAGTTTGCACGTTGTGGGTGGCAGACTATAGCAGTCGCTGCGTGTAACTAGTGACATTCAGCTGTGTCTAGTCAAGTCTGAAAACAAACGTACCAAACCATCATCCTGTTTCGGGCATAGTCACAGTGTTATGGAGATTTTCGATTTTGAAACTGCTCGGTATTATGCCGGAATATGGATTTTGGCCAGAGTTCGAATATAACAAGACGCTTGCCTTCTAGGTATTTAAATCGATTGCACGAATGGTGTGGTGGCTGGGTAACTGGCTGACGCGCAACGTATCGCGGTTTCGATTCCCGCACGGAGCAACTCTTAGTGTGATCTGCAGATTCTTGTTCCGAGTCTGGGCGATATGTGTATGTGAACTTGTACACACTGTATAATATGTGTGTTATAATATCATGTCCCTGGCGCGCCAGACTTCGCTGTTTTCATGGTTGTATCTACTATAGCCACTCTCTATACTGGTTTACAGGAATTGCAGTGATTTTGAGAGATTGGGGGCGTAAGTACTTGTCTCAAAAATCACAAATATTCTTTGGACTCCTTTATACTTTTAACTAAAATAGAAATGTCAATTGAAATTGCCCAACCGTTTCAGAGATGAGGTGAATAAAAAATCGCTAATTGTGTTGCTAAGCACACAATCAGTTTTTATTTAAGAAGAATTATTATTTATCACAACCATGAAAGAATCGTAAAGTTCCGGGCTCCGGGGTTTATTTAGGGCTCGTACACAAAACTGCAATGCGACGTCGCAGCGCAAAAATGTGCGAGCTCCCTCTACGCGGTGCAAGAACTTGCGAATTGATTCTCATCGCGCATCAAGATCTTATCTTCCCTAAATCTTCTTTGTTTGTCTTTCCTGTATCTCCTAAGCAATGATAGAAGTGCAAAATTCTTTTTACGATCCATGCCATGACCTAGTTTGCAATTTAAAATATGTTTAGTACGGTTGACGGTCATCAAAGTCAAAATCAACCTGGGAGACGCCGTGTCGGACGAAATCGCATCGTAATTGTTTTCGTTGCGAATTCGCATCGCTTCGCAGTTTTGTGTACGAGCCCTTATGGGGTTCTCATAATATGAAACAAATGTTGGATGATCGGTAAGTTTATTATGAGATATTACTTGATAAATATCTTACTAACTACCGAGTTTATGTGCAAAAAGTTCACACAATTGTGTGAGAATGAGACTAGGCATTCATTTTATGGCGCCTGGAGTCCTGGACTTTTTATATTCTAAGAAGATTATATTTATTCTGACTTTAGTATGTATTGTTTTACGTCTATTAACTAGACCAAGCAGTAGCGCTCTTTGATATACCTGAACTAATTAAACTAAGATTTTCATCCTGACTGGCGAACATGGAGATTAGGTTCTTTTACGAAGTAGGAGGCAAACGAGAAGACGGATTACCTGATGGTAAGTGATCAGCGCCGCCTATAGTAACACGGGGAGGAGTACAGATGCGTTGCTAGCCTTTCAAAAAGGAATACGCTCTTTTCTTGAAGGTACAGTACCTAAATCCTTCTTACGTACGAGTGTAGGAGGGCCATACCGCAGTTCAATACTTGACTGTCACGGACTATTTTTGATAGGTAGTGATGAGGATGGGTTTATTGACTATCGTGTTGGTCTACCTAATAGTTAAGCTACAAGCAAAACTAATGAATATAAATTAAAGTAAGGTTATACCTTGTAACAAGGAAATCATATTGGCAAATTCTGTCCTGAGGTTCGCTGGATATTAAGACGTTTTTGTTAGGTCGAGCTATAAGTTCGTTACATATATGACCAGCACGCGCACGTTCGCTGCGGCTCTGACTAGACCTGATTGTAGGTTTTATAGCTATGGTTTAATGTGCCAAAGGTCATATAATTCTGTCTCGGAGTTCTCTGGATATTAACATGTTTTTTTTTGTCTATGGATTGCCTGTTCTAATACTGTGATACTATGATATTTGATTTAATTTTCCAATTTATATGAGCTACACAACATTGAGTCTCGCTGTGATTACATCCAGTATCCCTCTATGGTCTGATACTTTAGCTCATGGGACCAGTAGCTCGGTACTAATTGTGTATAATCACTAATTCATAGATCATAAGGTTCACTAATTACGTAGTACTAATTGATTTGTTTTTGTCAAGAACCTGTACGCAGGTTAATTAGGTACTTATAAATGAGTTTTGTCCTTGAATACTTCATTTCAGATATAATGTTTCGCATTGGGTATCAGGATATTGTAAGAATTTCTTTTTGCTAATTCCAAACTACTTAGTGAAAAGTCCCGTAACGCCGGACGGCACCTAACGCCGGACACTGGTATTATCTCGATAACTGATAACACGAGCGATTCAATTTTTACTAAAAATCTTTAGGCGTTAGGTGATGTCCGGCGTTAAGGGACTTGTCCCTGCTAGGATTAAAAAGTTTTTGAAAATTTTCGAAAAAATTCTAATAATATTCTGCCCGGCCTCTAAATCGAACCTGAACTCCTTGCTCGACGTACTTGCTACAAATCTAAGCAACAATGTGCAACGTCTCGTGTGCCTGGGAACCGAGGAAAAGAGTTAGATACTATTCAGCTACATTTATGACAACTTTAACAAAGAATTATAAAAAAAGCTTGACTACCTCGTTGGCCGAGTGGTCGCAAGTGCGACTGCCGGGCAAGGGGTCTCGGGTTCGATTCCCGGGTCGGGCAAAGTATTATTGGGTTTTTAAAAAATCTCAGTAGTAGCACGGAGTCTGGAAATGTGACCGGTATATTGCAATAGGCTCCTGGCTAGGGGGTGCCCTATTACATGGGACTCGTAACATAAAATAGTGAAAAGTGGGTGTTACATTGTACAGTGGCATTAAGTGCCGTAATGTGCACCTCTGCCTACCCCTTCGTGTATAAAAAGGCGTGATGTTATGTTATGTTATGTTATAAAAAAAGCTTATCATTAGTAACTTCTGTTCGGTCTCTCAAAAATAATATCTCTTATAGAATTTCACATATATTATCTTTACCCCAAATTCATTAATTTTAAAGATAAACGTTGCTTTGTTTGTAGCGCAGTCGCAAATGCTTCCGTCGCACAAAAAATTGCCGATAAGGTTAAGCAGTCGGTCAACGTGTTATGAGGTTTACGAAAGATATATAACTATATTTTAATATATAAAAA